GGATCAGAAATGTGGTGAACATTTGAAATTGCTTTTGTAAAAATTGTATTTTTTCCATTACCATTTATCCCCCTTACACCCTCTTTCACCTCCACCCATCCTCCTCCCCCAGAAATTGCTTTTGATAGGAATGAGATTAGTATCCAATCAAGAAAAATTCAAATAATTAACTGAAGGTAATTGAAAAGATCATGCAATCTGACCTGTTGCATAATAGTCTCTATTCATTTTCAACTTTGAAGATGTTAAAATAATAAAAAAGAGATTTAACCTTTGTTTAGTTTTATATTTGTGCTGGGAGTATGTACAGAAAGTTAAAAGAAATCAGAGTCCAAATGAGTTACAAATGATCAACCTGTATAAGTAAAAAACAAGAACAAAAACAAAAAACAATGTTGGCTGAGAAATTAAAGTTACAGTGATTCAGTTACTCCAAAACCCTATTTGTCAATACAGAAGACAAATATGAGTAAGAGTATAAGTTAAGCATCGTAAGACACATATAATGAGCAGTGGATTATAGAGGTTGAAATATAGCAAGTAGAGCAATTCCACATTTTAATTACTTCAAACAAAGTTAAAATAATGATTATATGATGTAGAGATAAGTTTTGAGTTTAAATGAATATTTTGAGAGTCTATGGTACTGAAAGAGTAATCTACATTAATATTAGATTACTCTAGGACTATCATGTAGCTAAATGGTAAGAGAGCTTCGTATATGAGCCTCAGTTTATATGAGCATTTTTTCTTTGCCTGGTCATGGTAACTTTCAGGATCCAGGAAGTCCAAAACACACCTTGAACAGCAAGAATCCCTTGTCTTGTTATTTCTATGCTAAGTATAATTTTTATAACCAAATCCTTACAATTACACCAAGGATGTAGGCCCAGTGTCAGTGAGAATAGTATCCAGCTTATGCTCTCCTCAGGATACTTGGAATAATGAGGCTTCATGAGGCTTATGTGGTGAAAGTATAAAGCAAATGTGATAAATTACAGAACTGATAGAACTCAGACTTAATATTAGATATTAGTATTGGTTTTATTAGAGCTGCTGTTGATATTTTATTATTCAGAGGACAGATAGGGACAGTAATATTACCTGAAAGTGATTGGATGTTGTGGAATATTCATTGTCTCTTGATTGATTGGGGCATTGATTAATGGCTTACTGAAGGGCCTCCTGCTTTTCTTTTGCACAGAGCATGACAGGGCTTATTAGGTTAATAATTAAAGCTGAAAAATGCAGGTGAGACATTAGGATAAAATATTCATTAGGGAGTCATTTTAACTTTAGAATTCATAGGAAAATGGAATGAGAAATCATGGAGTCACATTTCCTTGGGGTATTTTTGTTCATTACTTTTGCTGTGTTTTGGGACAAATATAGGCAACTATTATTTATTTCAGGGCATGGAAAAAACGAAGTGGCTAAGATGGCCTTGAGAGACTGTGATTGAGCATTAAGCAGCTTCTGGTTAACTCCCCAGACACACACACACACACACACACACACACACACACACACACACACACACACACACGTGCACGCGCGTACCATTTTTTATAGCCCCCTCAATAATATCTTCATTTTCTAGACATGAGAATCTAGGAGGTGGTTTTACAGCCCTGGAGAGACTCCTTCTCAATCTTGTAGCCTCAGGGAATAACCTTGTTTGCAGTTCTGTGAAACTCTCCACGGTATGGTTTAGTGAGGGGTTTGGGAGAAGCTCAGGTAATAAAATTCTTCACTTGGGTGGTGGCAATGCATTTGCCAAGGGAGCCTCACGTTGTTTAAGAATCTTCTCTCAGCTGGGAACACCCTTAGCAACCAGGTATGTTTTAGGGCAAAATCAGAGGATACAGTTGGTCTATCAACAGAATATTGTAAGATATCATCACTGAAATTTGTAATTTCCCCCCAACCACGTCTTTCCACATTCCCTCATCTCTCCTTTCTCCTTCCTTCTCTGGTCCAAGCACTCCGTGTCCTTGTGTTTTTGCCTTCTTGCTCATTCACACTTACTTTAAGAGAACGATGCAAAGACAAATTTTTTAACCTCATAATGAATAGGTCATCTTTTTTACAGTGATATATGGACATCTGATTTTCTATAGCGAAAGCATTGTCTTAGAAAGTACGGAACTCCCAGTCACTTGAACTAACGTAGGCAGAAAATAAGTGTCATCTATAGAATACTGCATGAGTGTTTCTATATTGGTTAGATGTTGGACTTTTAAAATTTTTTTCATCTAGAATCCTAGAATGACTGGAGTTTGAGAATTTCTCCTTAAGAAGAGAAACTACCTCTACCATTAGGTGAGTAGTGGTTACAATTAATTTATAGATCAAGAGGGTTTTTTTCCTTCTTGTTTCCTCAGGTCCTCCTGGCCTATTATACATCCTCGTATAATGAAACACTAATCAGTAAACTTCTTTTAAGGCCAGTCTCTTTTTCTGCCATCCATGGGTACCCTAGAATGCCTGGAAACTTGGAAGTTTCCCTAGTACTTACAGCAAATGGAACTGTGCTTATTTGTTTGCTGCTATTTATATAATAGGGAAATTTTGTAATTTCCTGCTTCTTCAATCTAAGATCTATGGTAAGGTCATGTAGCTTGTGGTAGCCTAGGGAACATATGAAAAACACATGGTCTATATGTTCACAAAGGTGACAGTAGGAACAGCAGAGGATCAGGGCTAAATGAATCTTTCAGTGGAAGAACTTGGGATCTAAGACCTTACTCTTCCAGGGATAGAGTTGAACTCTACCTGTCTCTTGGATCCTGAGTAACATAAATAAAGAACAAAATCTAAAGCCCTATATCAGAGACTCAGGAACTTGCCAAGAGATGGTTTTGACTTGGTTTTCTCTAACTGAGGCCCTAGGACCCATTGCACTTAATTTAACTTTTCTTAACAAGGCTCTGCCTCACATGCTCCCCTCCCCCAAGCTCCTGATCTGTTTTGCCACTAATAAGGTGTTTGACTCAGGGAAACTTATTCTCTTTATGTAGGCTTCAATTTCTTCATTAGTAAAACATGAAATCAATTTTTACCTCTGCTATCCATTGGGTTTCTGTTTTTCTCTTTTTATTCCTTTTTTCTCCTTCCCTCCCCTCATCCTATTTTCTCCTTTCCTCTCTCATTTGTTTACTTTATAAACTTTTCTCTCATTTCTGGTCTTTCCTACAATTACTTGAGAAACTTAAATATTCTTCTTTCTCAAAAACCACAAAATACACACAAAAACTCTAACAACAGTTTAGTGGAAGGACAGAAAATGTATGCTGACAATTTAATAGTCCAGATATTTGTACTAACACCTCACTGTCATTCATAAGACCAATGGAAAGTAATGTATATTTTATAGGAAAAGGGAAAATATGCTTAGATTAAAAAATGGCTAAGACTGGAGAAATCTGAATCAGAAATCTTTCAAAGAGGAGCTTTTTTGATGCTCCTCTTTGAAATCCAGAAGTGTAAACGTACCCTGGGGTTGAGACACTCAATATTTGTAGAACAGAGGATAGATTATTCAACAGTTAAAAGAGCCACAAAATTCAATTTTATTATTCTTGTTAGTATAGAATCTATCAGTTTTACTTTTACCAACTGCAAAGAACTCTGACCAAAAACTTTAAAACAGACAGACAAAACAAAAATATAACAAACAAAACCCCCAATATTAGCAGTGAGAACCTATGAAGAAAACTTTTTATTCCAAGTAATCATAATAAAAAGCACATATTTTGTTTTTTTAAGGCTTTTGCATTTTTAATCCTCAGATGGCCTCTGTGAGTTGTTATTATTATTGTCCACATATTACTTGTGTAGGGCTATGCTGAGGAGCAGGGGGAATAGAATCTGATTACAAGATATGTGGATCCACAGTCTCTATTCTTAACACTGTGTTGCCTCTTAGTCAACTGGATTCTAATCAATTGTTGAAGGCAGCTGTTGCGTTTCTGAGGTTAAAACCTTCTCAAAGAGAGCCTATCTCTTCTACTCTGTCAGTGTACTCTGTCGGGCATTCATGTTTAAAGTTGACTGACCCCACTGGGGGGCCTTTTGGAATAAATACAGTTACTGATTCTGGAGACATAAGCATGTCTCCCACGTCCCTACTAATGCCTCTATACTGACTCTTAGTCAGAGTGTAACATGCCATTATGAATGATCACTGTGCCTTAACAATGGAATTGCCAGATGATCCTGACTCTAACAACAACAGCAACAACAACAACAACAGAAACTTGAGGTAAAGTTAACCTAGAAAGAGAATTGCATTATTGCTTTCCTAAATATAATTTGCTCTCCTTCTACTAAAACTTCACTAGATTAAAGTTGACAAATACATTTTGTTTCATATAACTAGAAATCACTGTCTGAGGTTCTTGGGTTGAGAATGATTCAGAGGCCTTCTCCAGGCTCAGGGTTAATAATGAAGGGTCACGTTCTAATAGAAGCAGGGGCATGTGCCCTTGGCATTTCCATCCCTGCCCTACATACAAGGTTCATTGTGTTCACAAGAGTTCTAGGCATAAGGAGTGTGGTGGGTGGAAATGGCATCCTTTCAGGGAAACAAATAATTAATATTTTATATTAATTTTGACCTAGTTATTTTGTCCTCAGCCTCTGACTTAACAGTTTAAAAGCTGTTGATTAAAAAAAGGAAGGAAAGATAAAGAGAAGCAAAACTTTTTACCAAATACATTGACACTACAGCGTGTGCTTTAAACTGAATATGGCTTATTTGTACTTCAGTGGGTCTTTTTCCCTTGGCCAGTAGAAGCTTTCTCAACAGGAAACACTTTGGAGTAGTAATTTCAGGGATTTAGTCTTTTCTTACACTCTCCCCCAGCCATGTGAAAATAAAATGGTTCTACTCCCGGGGAAATTGGATTCTAATGTCTTGTTCATCCCTGTGACTGTATTTTCAGGAAGTCATCCATCAAGATCAAGCTCCCTCTTCATGTCTATCTTATACAGGCTTCATGGCAAATACTAACTACTCCCACTTCCAACACCTTTACTTTGTCTTAACTGGGATTCCAGGGCTTGAACAAATGTACTACTGGATGGCATTTCCACTGGGTGCTATATATGCCATTGCCCTCTTTGGCAATAGTATCATCATCTCTACTATCAAGTCTGAAGTGTCCCTGCATATCCCCATGTACTACTTTCTGTGTATGCTGGCATTGGCAGACATGGGACTTGCCCTCTGTACTTTGCCCTCTATGCTAGGCATATTCTGGTTTAACTACAAGTACATCGCCTTTGATGCCTGCCTTGTTCAGATGTATTTTATCCACACCTTTTCAGCGATTGAGTCTGGCGTGCTGGTGGCCATGGCCTTTGATCGGGTTGTGGCAATCTGGGCCCCTCTCAGGTATAGCACCATCCTAACCAATGGCGTGGTCTGCAGGACAGGGGCAGTTATCTTGACAAGGGCAGTCTGTGTGGTCTTTCCTGTGCCTTTTCTTATCAAGCGACTCCCCTTCTACCGCTCTGACATCCTGTCCCACTCCTTCTGCCTCCACCAAGATGTCATGCGTCTTGCCTGTGCCAGCACCCGTGTCAACAGCCTCTATGGCCTCATTGCAGTCATCTTCACCAAGGGCTCCGATTCCCTTAGCATCATCCTCTCCTATGTCTTCATACTCCGAACAGTAATGGCCATTACTTCAGGGGAGGGCCGGCTGAAGGCCCTCAACACCTGTGTTTCACACATCTGTGCTGTACTCATCTTCTATGTGCCACTTATTGGGGTGTCTGTCATTCACCGTTTTGGAAAGCACATTTCACCACTGACTCATGCCCTCATGGCTAATGCCTATCTTCTTGTACCTCCTGTGCTGAACCCCATAGTCTATACTGTGAAGACCAAGGAGATACGAAGGAAGATCATCCAGATATTTGTTCGAACCAAGATTACTTCAGAAAGTTAAGGTCTGCCAGTTTGAGAGAGGAAGGATCTATTTTGTAAAAGCTCAGTTATGCCTATGACAAATAAAGGTTTATGTTTTTTTCACATTTCTGTGTGATTTGAGTTGGGCAAAAGATTTCCCTGCTCCCAACAGCACACTTTCCCATTCCCATGATAAGCTGTTTTTTTGCCCAGTAAAGAAAGAGTGGCATCTATAGGAGCTGTTCAATGTCCTGCCCTTTAGCCCTGCATTTATGAGTTGACATACTACTGCTCAAGACAGAGAATATTACTAATTCCATTTAAAATAACTCATTTGAACAGAAATAGGCCATTAGTTTTATGCTTTCTAAATTAAAGCTCATTAAATTTATTTAATTCTAGCTCAGGAGTTAGAAATGAGTGCTATTAGCTTAACAGGGAAGAGATAAACTATTCTTGTTAAATAATAAGAGAACACCTGGAGATAATAATGTATTAAATATGAACCAGAAAAATGACCAAATTTTAAGATTAAGAATATAAATGTATGCAATTGAGCAGGGGACAATGATGTTGCATGATTTGGAATCAAAAGATTAAGGATGAGTTTTAGCTCTTTTGTGTGTGACACTGGATATGCTCTTTCTTTCTCTTTACTTCAACTTTTAATTTTGAAAGTGGAAATAATGTCATTTGGCTTCCAGTGTTGTACAAAATTAAATTTAATCATATGAATACAATTATTTGTAAACTTTGAAGTGCTGTGCACTGATAAATAGTGTTCGAAAATGCCAAACATAAGAGAACAAGAGAACATGTATTTGTAGACTGGCCATTAAGTAAAAGACGCAGCACCAGAGCCTTCTACATGTTATCTTATTTGATAACTATGGCATCCTATAAGGGAGAGTGTCGTGTACTCTTTCCAGATGAAGATATCAAGGCACAAAGCAATATATTTTTATTGAGTTTAGACTCAGGCGGGCAGATTTCCTAAAGAATGATGGATACCATCTACATTGTGGGAGACAAATAAAATGGGATAGTTAGAATTGGAAACACTTGTAATAGAGGTTTAAACATAATTATGAATATCGTTTGAACTGAACTAGACAAACTAAATATAGAAAGTAGAAGAAACATGGCACATGTGTACACAGAGTTATTTGTATCCCTTTACATGGTCCAGATGACTTTTTCCAAAGTGTTTCCTGCTTGTTAAAATTTAAGACAAAAGACTCTTTGTGACTTGATTGGTAATTGTAATTATCTGTTACTCAAGTCAGTAGCTATTTTAGAAGTTTGTTAGGGCAAACCCTAACTTAGTTAAGATTAATTTATTATGGGTAGGCATACAAGAAATGAGCATTTCTATTTAAATACTGTTTTCAGATTCAAGAGGCCTCACTGAATAAATCTTAGGTAGGTTCATTAAAATAATCTTTATTTTTCTTTTTTAATTCTATAAGGAACATAAGCACAATGCAAACATTTAACAAAATCATAAAGTATAAAAAACAACATTTAAATATTCTGGACTTTATGAGGAGAGTTGAGCTCTACCACTCCTTGAGGTACTTGTTGAGAGTTTGCCAACACAATCACAGTCCTGAGTCTGGAGGGGGGAATGCATCTCAGAGCTAGGTCTCAACCTGTTCTTTCTACAGGGGGAAAGGTCCTTAGAAGCAGTGTAAAGCAACCAATATCCTCAGGAGATAACCAAGTCTATGAGGACTTTCAGGTCTTAGGTGTCCTCACCTATACATGGTGCTTGAAATTTAATCTGTGCCAAAAATTTCTAAATCATACTCTATCTTTTAGAGTCAAATAGAAATGCTCTTCATAGCCATTGTCTTTGATGCTTTTAGTACATGAAGAAAAACCTTGAAACTAGGGCACTGTTGCAAGGTTAGTGGGTTTTCCTATGTCTTTTTCTGTCTCCTTCACTTTTCTTCTTTAAAGATGAACATGATGATAGCCACAGCAACAGGTGCCAGCAGTAGTAACAATACCATCTACTAATAACCACATCTGCAATACCATCTACTAAATAATAACCACAATAATGGGTTTTACAAGACCTCATTATCCAGGAATTAACTCTATGAGTGAATATACTGAGAGTAAGGGCTTAGGTGTCATACACCGCTGAGTGGAAGTTCTGGCTGTGCCATTAGTATCTGTGTAATCTGGGTAAGAGATCTAATTTCTTTAAGGCTAATTGTTCTAATCAACAAAATCTGAACAGAACTATTGTTTATTTTGTAGAGTTATGGAGATTAAAAGAGTTAATGCATGTAAGGCTTAGCCCAAGGCTTGCAAGTAATAAGCATTGGATATATATCAGTTGTTACTATTATTGTTATTATTCTCAATTAAAAAAACATATACACTGAAGCACAGAGCATTTCTGTAACTTGGTCGAGTTCACATAGCAAGTGGGTGGATACGGCTACAATTTGAAACAATTGTGTCATTACTCTTGCTGTAAGATTAATAATCAGGAACTGTAAATATTTGCAGTTCATCCAAATAAATCAAGTTGAAGGAGGATTAAAGGGAAAATATTTAGTTTGTCAATTAGAAAGAAGTCTGAGCCATGGAAAACATAGATTTCATATAGCAATGGAGACAAAAGGGTCAGACTGCTGGAGCTAGAGAAGGTGTTGCAAAGTGAGGATGTGGCGTATGCATGTAGATTGTCAGTCGAGAATTTATACTTTTTCTTTTGCTACACTATGGTCCCATCAGAGAGTGAGAGAATGATGATGGCATTAACGGGCACTTTCAGATAATTGTTTTTCTGTTATCCCAGTTTGTGAATATTGGAAATATATTCTGTGGTAGTTGACTGTTATCTTTAGTATAGAGTGATAATTTTCAAATTTTTGGTTATACATCTGTATAAAAAACGAAAAAAGGATACTTCCTAATGTATTTATATTTTATTTTTATTTATTGAAAAACTCTATACAGACACTACTATACTAATATTTCATGTATGATAACACGTTAAGAAAAATATATATTTTGATGAGATTACATACAAATAACATTTCTATTATTTTCTCTTTGTAGGAAAATTGATGATAATGTGTTCTGTCTGAGATTAATATTTTCCATTTAGATAGCATCAATATCAGGGCCTTGACTGATATTTGCATTCCTCACAAACCAACAATTTTCAAGTAATTTTCATTAAAAATTAAATCATATCAATTCTGCAAATTTAGTTTTTTTATTACATTTGATGGGGTAACATTGGTTAATTGGGTCATAGAGGTTTTAGGTATATGTTTCTATGATACAAGATCTGTATATTGCACTGTGTGCCCACCACCCAAAGTCTAACCATCTTCTGTCACAACATATTAAGCCCTCTCCTCCCCTAACTCCTCCCACCCCTTTCCCTCTGGTCTTTTACAATGTTTTTTAATAACGCTTTGTAGTTTTTATTATACAGGTCCTTTGTTAACTTTATACTTAGGTATTTTATTCTTTTGGTTGCAATTGCAAAAGGAATTTTTTAAAAATTTCTTTGAAGTTTCATTGTTAGCGTATAAGAAAGCTGTGGATTTTGGTACATTGATTTTGTATTCTGCAACTCTACTGTATTTGTTTATGGTTTCTAATATTTTTTGGTGGAGTCATTAGGATTTTTTATGTACATGATACAATCATAGTTAGGGACCTTAATATGCCATTGACCACTAGATAGATCATCCAAACAGAAAATCAATAAAGAAATATTAAACCAAAAAAACATAGTTAACATTTACAGAGCTTTTCAGATCATTCAGAACATCAGATTATACATTCTTCAGTGCGCATGGAATATTCTCAAGGACAGTCCATATGTTGGGTCACAAAACTAGCCTCAACAAATTTAAGAAGATTGAAATTATACCAAGCATGTTCTCTGACCACAATGTCTTGAAATTAGAAATCAACTGCTAAAAAGAAGTAAAGAAACTCACAAATATGTGAAGATTAAACAACATACTACCAAAATATGATTGTATCAAAGAAGAAATAAAAGGTGAGATCAAAAGGTGAGAAAAAAGAAAACTACATATCAATATTTCTGATGAATACAGATACAAAAATAGTAAACAGAATACTAGCAAAGTGAATACCTCAATATGTTAATACATCACAACCTAGTAGGGTTCATTCCAGCAGCGCAAGGGTAGTTCAATATATGCATATTGATCAATGTATTCAATAATACACTACCTTAACAAAAGAAAATATAAAATAATATAATTTTACCAGTAGATTCAATAAAAGCATTTGTTAAGGTACAACATACACTTATTATAACACTAATAGAAATATAAAACAAAAGTACCTTAATACAATAAAGGCCTGTATGACAAACCCTCAGCCAATTTAGTCTTAATCTGCCTCTCGGTCTAGTTTCATCCTGGTAGGATGAATATTTTACTTAAAGATTCAATAGTATTGATTATCAGCTATTCATTCATGCACCTGTATCATAAAATCACTGGTTTCTTCTCTCTCCCTGGAATCTGCTTGCAAACCTAGGAAAACTTGAGACATGGGTTGAGTCTCAATTCACAGGTTTTAGAATCAACAGATCTAAATCTGAATCTAGTTCTGCCACTTAGGAACTGTATGACTTAGAACAAATTACTTAACTACTCTAAATCTAATTTCCCTCCTGTGTAGAATGTTGATAACCTCTATTCTTAAAGATTGTGGTAAGAATTCATTGAGATAATATATAAAGGCAACTAGCATTGTTAGTTATTATTAACAAATTAAATGAATGTGATATTGTCATGTAATACCTACATAACTTATAATTATATATGTATTTCTTTTCAGATTAAATGCCAGGAATTGAGAAGAAAATTGGTGGATTTTTCTCTGTATCTCAGGGTCTAATATCATGTCTGAAATTTCATTAGGGTTAAATGTGTATTTATTGAATGAGTAAATAATTCCCCTAGCAACTTGATTGTGTATTATTAACAAAATACTTCAAGTATTATTATCAATGCAAAGGCACATTGCATTTGACATGCTCATCACCACACTTGGGTGCACTGCTTTCTTAAAATTCTTCCCAGTGCTGAAAGTTTTCATTTGTCCTCCCGCAATGTCCACCAGAAACTTTACTTGGTAAGGTTTTGCTGGATTCCTTAGTACATAGTAAAATAAACTTCACTTGTGCTAAGTTGAAAGAGAAAAGGCAGAACACCTATTATTCTCTTAAGTATGTGGCTGAAAATTAGACCTTTTATAAATCTGTAAAGAAGTAGCACCCTTTAAAAGAATAGGTATAAATTATGTAACCACAGATATGTCTTTTAATTTTATCATAGGCACTATTTACCCAATAAATATTGAAACATAAAAATAAATGTTATTTAATTCTCTAAGTTTTCTTTGCTCTATTTTAAGAAAAAAAATGCTATCTCAGAAACATAATTCTTTAGCCATGATATAGGGCTTCTACAACTTATTACTGTAATCATTATTTAATTGATGATTAAAGAAAAATGTTACTGAACAGTATATGAGTAAACACTCATGAGCATTATCTGGATAAATAGGTGATGATTTATGATCATCTCCTGTTTGAAAGAAGAAAAATTACAATGGTAATTAAATTAGATTTTGTATGTGATGCCAGATACCAAAATATATGCATCTCCATATGGGGTGTACGTAGACCAAGGATGATCTGTGTTATATCTTTACCCACAAGTCTTGCCCACCCTTACATTTTACCAGATGTGTATAATTTGACTGCATTATAACTGCTTAAAATGCTACTATTCTGCAACTTACATTTGATTTCATTTCCCTAGGCCCTGCTCTTTCTCCTCTGGAACATGTAGATGATTCGCCTTCGTATCTGCTTGGTCTTCACACTATATACAATGGGGTTTAGTACAGGAGGGAGTAACAGATAGATATTGGCCATGAGCATGTGCACTACTGGTGATAAATGCTTCCCAAATCTGTGGATCATGGTGACGCCAATGAGGGGAACATAGAAGAGGAGCACAGCACAGATGTGAGAGAGGCAGGTATTGAGGGCTTTGAGTCTTTCAGCTCGGGAGGCAATGCCCAGCACAGTCTTCAGGATGAGCATGTAGGATAAGAGGATGATGAGAGCATCCAGCCCCAATGTGAAGATGACTATGATGAGACCATACAGGCTGTTGATGCGGGTGCTGGCACAGGCTAGCCGCATTGCATCTTGGTGGAGACAGTATGAATGAGATAAGACATTGGAACTGCAAAAGGGTAGTCGCTTTATAAGGAAGGGCACAGGGAAGACCACACAGACTGCCCGGGTGAGGACAGCTATTCCAATTTTGCCAATGATACCATGCGTGAGAATGGAAGTATAGTGTAATGGGTCACGGATGGCCACAAATCTGTCAAAGGCCATGGACACCAAAACTCCTGATTCTATCACTCCAAATCCATGGATGAAGAACATCTGTGTGATGCATGCATCAAAGGAAATCTCAGGGGCATCAAACCAGAAGATGCTGAGCATGGAAGGCAAGGTGGACATGGAGAGACTAACATCAGTTAGAGCCAAGATGGAAAGGAAGTAGTACATAGGCTCATGGAGACTCTGATCTACCTTGATGACAGCTAGGATGGTTCCATTTCCCAGGAGAGTTAGTGTGTAGAGAAATCCCAGGGGAAAGGCCATCCATGGATTTTTACCTGGCATCCCTGGTATACCTGTCAGGATGAAACTATGGTGGTTGACAAGCGATGCATTAAAGTCTATCATGGTGTTCTCATCACCAGGTGAGGCTGTATTCTCCCACTTAGCTCACAGCTCCTAAATTGAAAATACATTTTCATATAAGACAGAAAAATGGCTTTATGAATATACAAGTAGAACAGCAGAAGGGAGAATTAAGTTAAAATAACATCTAACTGAGAGAAAGAAAGGAAGAAAGGAAGAAAGAAAGAAAGAAAGAAAGAGAAAGGAAGAAAGAGAGAAAGAGAGAGATGGATGGATCTCCTACCTTTTGCAACAACATGGATGGAACTGGAGAATATTAAGCTAAGTGAAATAAGCCAGGCAGTGAAAGACAAATACCATATGATCTCACCTATAAGTGGACTCTATTCAACAAAATAAACTAACAAACAAAATAAACCACAGACATGGAAACATGGAGCAAACTGAAAGTGACCAGAGGGGATGGGGAAAGAGGACAATGGGGGAAAGAAGGGGAGGGGACTAGACAAAGAACATGTACGAATGACCCATGGACATGGACAAAAGAGTGGGAATTGACTGTGGAGTGGGGGGCGGGCGTGGGATGGGTGGAAGGGGGTAAAGGGGTAAAAATTGAGACAACTGTAATAGAATAAACATGATTTATAAATTAAAAAATAAAAATTAAAAAAAAGAAGTTTTTGTACCATCTCTTCATTTCCTAGATAATCACATGGGATGACCTTCTTTCCCTTGAATTTAATATGTTCATCTGAAAAATTAAGATAAGACTAAAACCCTAGTGTAAAAACATTTGGATATCTCCTCTTTTAAAAGTTCTTAAGATTTGGCAGAGAAGAAGTAGCAACACCAAGAAACTTAATAGCATAGAGAATGTTGCTAAATAATCAAATGGAAACTGACTAAACTCACATTATCAAACACATAGCTACACACATTCCATTGCCTTCACAAACTCATGTCCACATGAATCCATCTGTGTGTGTGACTATTTGCATGTGTCTAGGTCTGTCTGGAAAAAGTCCAGCCATTGTTAATATAAGGAGAACAGTTTGTACAAAATCGATGTAACCTGGCAGCTAAGGAGAGTGGACTGCAATGCATATGTCTGAACAATGATGACTTCACTGTACTAGTCAGTAGAGGCTGGTGAATGAGCATGTGTACTGTGTGGCCATCACATTGAAAATGACTGAGCGAGTAGAGCAGTGAATCTGCATCAAATTTTGCATTAAGTGTCAGCATTCCTCCACAGAATCCATTTGGATGATTCAGAAGGCCACAGCTACAGGCAACTGGTGATTGGCAGCTTCACCACAACAACTCGCCTGTTCATGCATCACATATCATGCAGAGTTTTTAGCGAAACATCAAATCGCCCAGGTGACTCAGCCCCATTATTGTCCAGATTTGGTGCCTTGAGACTTCTGGCTTTTCCCAAAACTAAAATCAGCTTTGAAAGGGAAGAGATTTCAAACCCTTGGTGAGGTTCAGGAAAATATGACGGCGGCTGATGATAACTGGGAGAACTGTGTGAAGTCCCAAGGTGCCTACTTTGAAGGGGACTGAGGCGTCACTGTCTTATGCACAATGTTTTTTGAATCTTGTATTTTCTTCAATAAATGTCTCTATTTTTCATATTACATGGATGGATACCTTCTGAACAGACCTTCTATATGTACATTCTCATACATACATATGTGTGTGTATATTTTCTTCTACATGACTAAGTTTATTTCACTGTATTTATAATGGTCTACATTTTTATGTAGACACTTCAGTGAAAAAAATTGTTCAAATTAATATTTAATCTTTACACATTTTAACAATTTTTAAATTCCTGTAACTCCCTTTTAAAATATCAAGGAACAGAAAATAAAGGTTATTGACCAACAAACAACCGTACATGAGATATGAGAGTAATCACTCACAAGATTTTTATTTTGAGAGTCTCCTAACTCACCAGAAACTTGGGGTCATTCTTCTTTCATTAAATAGTATTTAATCACTTTCAAACTTGTTTTCAAAACATATGAAATTACCCCTTTCTTCATTTTATATAGTTATTAAATAGTATAGTTCACTTCTCCCAGGCTAGTTAACTAAGTGTCCTTCTTCCAATAATTGTTTATTCTGTGGTCAGAATAAACTTTTAAAGTTTGGAATGTAATTTATTCATTACAAGCAAAAGCCATTACTTTAAGAACTTCTATTGTATTTAGAATAGAGTCACGGATCCTTAACAACCACAATAAGGCATGATTCAAACCCTGTTTACCTCTCTAGAACCAACTCACACCATTTCTCTCTACTTTGGTCTCTTCAATCCAGCCAAATTTTCAGTGTTTAAGTTCCTGGATCTCGCTAATATAATTCCTGATACAGGATTTCCACATATGGTCTTCCCTATTCCTATGCCTTTCTCCACTTCCTATATAGTTCCTCTTTGCCTAACCAAAGCCTGCCTGTCCTTTCCAAGTGAGCTTTTTTCAAATGCCCGCTGTCGTTTAAGACTCCTCTGTATGCTGTTTTCGCATTCTGGGCTTTTTCTTCTTGTTAGCTAGTACAGTTAATTAAACATTGTATAAATATTTGTTTAGTGTCTCTCTCTCTGACTAGAAGTTAAACTCCCTGAAAGAAAAGAATGTTAATCTGCTCATCACCTAACAGACCATATTCTAAGCATATAATAACTTTTGCATGTGTTGAAAAAATGAATAAAACAATGAATAAATTAATATGGTTATTCTTTTTTCCAGAAGTCTTGAAAACCATCAAACTCCTGCCTAATCTTCTCCATGTGGGTTGAAAATTAGAGAAAAATGTATTTTTATAAGAGAATGTGGAAAAAAACTTAAAAGAGGAGTCTTCGAGAGGTAATATGGCATCTTTGTTTTCACCTAGGTACCTGTTTTGAGAAACAAGGAAAAAAAATCTCTAGAGCTGTTTCGGGAATACTGAGCCCAGGTGAGCATAAGGGTGTGGGGAGGATCCAGTGCACAAACCAGGTGAACTTCCCTGCTTGCTCATCTCTCCTTGTTGTTTGGGAGAAAACAGTGCAAAGAAGTTAGTTTGTAGATTCTGAGGAATCCTTGAAAGATGGTGTAGTACATCTACAAAGTTTGTGTTGTGTGTTGTAAACAGAATCCAGGCCTCTTTCCCAATAAATCACAATGCTCAGATCTAAACAAAGTGTGTGATGGTAGTAGTCTAACCCTCTTGCTGGGTTTTGAAAATGGGGCTTTTTAATACTTTACATAGTAACTGAAAGCTCTTTGCTGCTGATTCCCTGTCTCTAGCAATTCTGATGGCTTTTGCTAGGGTGGAGTAAGCTGGTCCATCTTTACTGAATTCTTTCCTTGGAAAGGCTTGAAAAATCTTTGATATTCTTTCAATAAGCTCCAGGGTCTGCTGAAGCACTGCTGTTCTATGGAGATTATTGATTTTTGTTTTTCTCTTCCTTTTTACTGCTTTTGACTCTGTTTACCCAAATGTGTTTTACCCCATTTTCTCCCTTTTGTACTCATTCCCTTTTCTATTATCTATCTTCCTTTTCTTTTCCATTCTCCCTAAATTTTCACTTCACCTCTTTTTTTCTAGTTCCCAGTTTAATTCTCATTTACTCTTCCATCCAATCTTTATTTCATTTTTTATGCAGTAGTCCCTCCCCAACAATATGTCTTCTTTTTTTCCTAATAGAAACATCTGCATTTTACTTTCCATCTTTTCTTTATTTCTGCCACCCATGACTCTATAGACTTCTCATTGTCCTTATCATTTCTCTCATTAGAATTTCTATGAGGACTTAATGAAATAATGTTCATAAATAATCCTGCACAGAGCTTGCTATGTGGAGGGCATGAAAATAGATTTTAAGTTTAATGTATTACCTGTATCAACTTCTGGGCTCCAGTTCAGAATTAATTTGGCTTCTTTCCATCCCTGAGACTAGCAAAGAGAGCACTTATAAAGATTTCTCAAACCTCTGGTGGCACCTGGAACCATCACGATTCTATGAAAATTGTCTAATTGCTCTGGAAAAATCCCCTGAGGTGTGTTATGCAGTGCCACCTGAGCTTTTCCACCTGGATTTCCCTGAGAACCTCAAACCCATCTTGTTAGCCACATGTGTGTGTTAAATCACTAAATAGGTTCTAGGATTGCACACCAACATCAGTCTAGGTCTCCTAACTCCAAAGCCGGCCTCAGTCTCAGTGATGACACAATGCTGTGATTTATCCTGAAATGGGGTTGGGGTCTACTGTTGCTTTTGGATGGAGAGATAAGATTGCCTGAACTTTCCATCAGGAACACAGAAGACAAAGTTCTTTAAATTTGTTGGAGTTGTTTGACTTCCTGGCTTGTTATTTCAATCTATTGAATATAATTATTTTCATTTTTTTCTGTAATGATAATTTTCATCAATGAGATCATTCTTAAAATTACAGAAACAGCTGATTATTCCATCAGTGTGTGCCTCTTTATGGTTGGTCCTTAAATAGTTCACAGACCCTTCCCTTACCTTCATGTCCCTTTTGAGGTTTTCCTTCAAGGCATAGTCACATTATAACAGAATTGAGACACTGAATGCCAAAGACCAGCACAGTTCTTCCAGATTTCAAGGCAAACTAGGCTCTTGATTCCTTAAGATCCAATGAACTCAGAAAAAGCTGTTCATGTCTAATAAATTTATTCATTAATGACTTTAGATACATTGAATTCCTACTATATACTAGATGTGCCATGATAACCAGAGAACCAAAAGAAGGAACTTTTTTTCTTCCAAGATCCTTAGCCAAGTACACATGAAAAACAGTATCAGAAATGGGAGTGAAATGTATTCTCAAGCAGAATACAAAAATCAGACATAAATAATTCTTATGACGATATTCTCTTTTTTCAGGCACAGTAAAGAATTATGGCAGAAGTTTATCTATTTATTTTTGGTTTCTAAATTCATTTCTTTCCCAGTGTGTGTTACAACTTATAGGAGACCACATTTGCCATAAACATTATGAGCTGGTGCTTTGTAATTTGTTTCT